CGCAGGGTTGCCTGCGAGTCCATCGACCGGCTCCTCCTCCGGGCCGCCCCCGCCGCGCTCCCGGGCGGCTGGAGGGCCGGCCCGCGGGCTCAGGCAACCACGGGGCACCATCTTCTCGGGCGGCTCGGGCAGCGGGCTGCCCACGGTTTCAGACAAACTGGAGACTCTCTTGCCAACCAGAGTGCCAAGCTGACCCCCATCCAGAAACATAACCATGTCCTTTCGGCTCTCCATGCCGGGGTTCTCCGGAGGGGGAGGGGGGAGCCCCAAGTGAGCTCCTAACCCCGGGCTCTCTGGGTCCCCAGCGGCTGGATGGATCTTGACTGCGAGAGGGAGAAAGCGGCCGGACGACTAGGCTGGCGCGGAGCGGCCGGAGCGCGGTGTCGACCGGGCCGGAGCGCGATGTCGACCGCGGCGGCGCGGCGGCGGCGGGGAGCTAGGGTCACCTTGTGATGCGAGCGCTCCTCTGTGCCGCACCGCCTCTGGGAGGAAGCCCCATTGCCCTCTTCTTTCTAAGCTGTCATCCTCCTGCTGCAATCGTCATTACAGTACCGCTGGTGACGCCACTCGGCGAGCGCTAGTGGATAAATAGAAACGTCTGCCACAGCGAAGATGAAAGGAGACCCGCAGCTAATGGCTCGGCAGTGATGCGCCAGGTGTGGGCCTCGCTCGAATGGGGAGGAGAGTGTGAAAACAGAGAGACACACACACTGAGAGGGAGACACCCAGGCAGAGGGCATGCAAATGGAATTGCTCAGAAAGAACAGAGAGAGCTTAAGGCGCACAGCGAGTTCCGCAGGGGCAGAGGGACTGGGTAATTGAATACGCTTTTGATTCTTTTATTTACCGTTGTTTTGACTATTGTTTTCTTAACTTGGGGGCCATTGTTTTGACTATTGTTTTCTTAACTTGGGGGCTTGATCTGGCACTGATAAAAGAATCCATACCTGCATTTTAAAAGTGTGAAGGCCGGCTTATGAGCCTCGATTCTCTAGGCGTTATTACAACTGCCTGCCCCCGGCTGCTAACCTCCAGCCGGCGACAAAGTCTTTTACAAGCTACGGAAAACGTATCCCCCACCCCAAGTCGTCCGGAGAGCTGGAACTTGGGGTATCCTTTCCTCTCTCTTCTCCTCCCTCCCCCATTTCCATCTGTCTCCTTCCTCCTGGGAACCACTGCTCTTCTCCTTCCCAAAGGGCAGGAGGCAAACACCTTGATATTTTTTTCTTTAAAGATCCGCCTTGGCTGCTGACTCAATCCTTGGCCGATTTTTTAAAATTTCGCCCTCCCCGTCTGCATGGCCTTACGCTTTCTCCAGCCCAGCTAGACCTCGAGATGGCTATCCGTGGAAGAAACTGCTTTCCTGTTTGCCCGGGCCTCGCCTGCACTTCAGGTATGTTGGGTGGGGTTTTAAGAGTGTTCTTTTTCTTTCTTGCCTTCCCTCTCGCCCCGCATGTTAAGGTATTCGTTCAAAATCAACGAATTCTCCTGGAAATAGAATTTTCTAATGAAGGGGTGCTGGTGAAAAACAGTGGCCAATGCAGCCACACTGGAGACCCCTAGCTGGGAGAAGGCACTGACCTCAACCTGCGGATGTAACATGTTGGGGTTCACAGAGATTAGACTCACGAGGTCCTCCCCCAGGCCCTGCCTAGGGGCAGCAGTCCCTGTGTCCAAAGGTGGTTGATGCTGAGGGCTGAAGAGAGCAGTCGCTGAAAATGCACTTAGAGAGCAAGTGACCGGGAGCTCTGATAAATCTTTTACAGGAGGGCTGGAGGCAGGGGCAAGGCTGGGGAACTTGATATTTATGGGGAGGAGCAGGCTCCCTCTCAGTTTTTCCTCCAGAGAAAGTGGAGGAGAAGAACCTCTTCAAACTGACCTCTTGGGGATGCTGAGCTAGTGTGTAGGGGCCAGGCAGGTGGGCTGGGTCTTCCTCCACTTCCCCCGAGAGAGGGAGGTAGGGGCCTGCCAAGCTCTACTCCCCTTTCTCCACCCCCTTCTCGAGAGCCGCCAGAACTAAAATGCCAGCTGCAATGGGCAACCCAGCACCTCTCTCCTCCAAGTCCCCAGCAAAGCTTCAGCTTCTTTTAAAAAGAAGCTACCTTTATGTGTGTGTAAGGGGGTGTCTGCGTATTGTGGACAGGGTTTCTACCGCTGCCTTATCTCCTTCTTCCTACTACACTTTTCTCTCCTCCTTTTCTTTTTCTCTGCTGTTCTCCACCCCCACCCCCCCCACACACACACACACAAGCTTTCCTATCTGAGAGGTTATGGAAATGCCACCCCCCACTCCTGCTTGCCCTGTTCCCCCCCATTCGATAAGATGTTCATTAACCTCTCCTGGGGGCAGGGGCAGCGAGATCTGAGGGTAGCATCAACACAGGTATCTCTTCTCCTCCTTGAGACTCCCAAAGCTGCTATCTGCTGAGCACTATTACCCCCAAAATCTGGGATAATATTTTAGAGGTCAAAGAGGAGGAGGTATTGGGATTCAAAAGGGGGGGGAGGAGGGAGGAGGGAGCAAACCCAGGAACTTTTGCTGCCACATGGAATTGTCCAAGAATTCAAACATGTCCTGCCCTTCCCAGAGGCAGCTGAGCCTGAGGCGCACCTGGCTGGCTCTCTCCTCCCAGTCAAAATCTAGTCCCCTGACCTTGTTTTAGGTTGCCCACCCCAGCAGGTACGTCCTGCGGTCTAGCCCATTCTCCCCCTTCCCTCCTTTACCCCCTTCAGCACACCTTTGCAGGGTGCCTGCGGCTGCCACCTCCTTGGGGTCTGGTTCTGGGAAGGACTCTAGACTCCCCTGCCCCGCCCCCAGCTTTGCATTCAATGGGAATGCTCTGTGTTTGATCCTCTTTGGCTCTGGGTTTTCCCTGGGAGATAAAAGCAGAGCGGGATTGAGAGATCAAGGGGTGCCACTTCATCCCCTCCAGGGTCGAGCCCCTTGGAGCTGGGCTTCCCCTTACAGTCTGTGGAGGAAATGCCATTGCAGTGGGGGTGGGGAAGCTGCCTGCTTCGGTTCCCGATCTGAATCTTCAGGGACATCTGCCTCCAGCCCGACTGGCAGGCCATCTCTCTCCCGGCGTCTGCCCAACCCTTTCAAAGCTGCCCCAGTTTCTCCAGGCTTTCCAGGACTGCTGAAGCCCTGGGGCATGAGGGGAAAACATTTACGCCACTTTTTCCAAAAGCATTCTTTCGTTAACATCACATGAAGAAAGGTCAGATTTTTAACGGAAAGAAGTTGAAAAGAGGAAGGGACTGGATAAAAACACCGTGTTGTGTTGTGTTGTGTTGTGTTGTGTTGTGGGATGGGATTGGATAAAAACACCGTGTTGTGTTGTGTTCTGTTGTGTTGTGTTGTTTGGGGTGTGTGTATCCAGGGTGTTATAACAGTATCACTCTCACTGTATCTTGAAGGTTATTCACGGCTCTGCTCAGGAAGGAAAGTAAATTCGGAGAGCGAGTGAAGCCCTATACAACCCCATAAAATCCTGGGGTAACCCCATAAAAGCCAAGAGGCAGTGCTAGCAGCCGAAGTGGGGTCCGGCTCAGGCCCCGGTCGCTTTTCACCTTCTGAGGCGAGAAGACACCTCCCCGCCCCGCCCCTCGAGTCTGCAGTCCCTTCCCCGGATGGGGCGCTGGCATTGGGTCCAGCCGGCTCCTCTCCGATTGAAATTCCCTGGACTTCAAAAGCTACTGACTCGGCTTCCGCCAGGACTGGGAAGGGCGGAGGGTGGGCGGGAACCCCGGGAGGCTACGCGGAGATAAGACTTGCGGGTCGTTTCAAATGGAATCGGAAGCCAGGCCTGGGCCACCGGACGTGCTGACGGGCTGGAATAGCTTCCCAAGAAAACCCGGCTGGGAAGAGTGGCGGCGGCAGGGGTGAGGGCTGCCTCAGTGGTCTGTGGGCCCCACTCGGGTGTGACAACCTCAGGCCCTGAGCACCTTCCCCAGCCCGAGCACCCCATAGGCCTCGCCGCTGCAAGCACGCGACATGGCCTAAAGGAAGGGGCAAGAAGTCCTGGAACTGGGGCCGGGAGCCGGTTTGGCTGCTTCAGTATCGGCAAAAATTTAATCAGAACACACACGCGCGCGCGCGCACACACACACACAATGTTTCTGCTTTTCTTTTTGGTAAAACGTAAGAACAAAGAGAGCTCTCTTTTGTGCATTGCCCGGGTGTGGTGGATATTGATCTTGGGCCCTTGTCGTTTTCCAGGCTGTGGCTCCGGCCAATGCCATCGAAGTTCCAGCACAGCTGGATCGCTGGATCGGCGCGATAGCTGGAGGTGGGGGGTGGGGGTGGGGAGAGGTCCTGGTGGTCAGTCCTTGCTAATGCCCTGGCAACAACCAACGCCCCTGGGGGAACCCAGCTCCACCACGGGGTGCAGCCAGGGTGCAGCCGTCGTGGAGGCTCCACTGGATCCAGGTCCTTTGGATCCCAGAGCCAGCAGGGCCAGCTTCCATAAGCAGCGAGATCAAGGCGGGACCACTATCCCACCCTCTGGTCCACCCTGCAGTGGGCAACAGAGTCTTGGAGGGAGTCAGAATCCAGGGCGGCTCTCCACTGCCCACAGAACAGTTTCTTCTCAGACACGTGAAACCCAGGGCTTCTGGAACTGGTTTGGACAAGTGCCTCCTCCCTCTTCAAGCCTCCTGGAGGACCAGCCTAGTGCCAGGAAGCCCCGGTGCTTTGTGGCCTCCCCAAACCTGCCGCTTATCAGGTCTCCAAGGCAGCCAGCCCAGCAGCCCTCCTTGGGCTTCTGAAGGTCCCAGCCAGTGACTTCCAGGCCAGTATGATGGATGTCCACCAGCAGCCCACATTCCTCACCCATCAATGGCTTATCAAGGAACTGGAAGATTCAGGGCAGAACTGGAGACCTGAAGACCTCTGCAAGCTGGAGGCTTGCCCCTGCCTCAAGCTGTGGACCAGCAAGGCCCAACACAGTAGAACAATTCTCTAAAGACCCAGACATCTCCCTCCCCCACCCTAGCAGTGCCGGTATGGGTTCATCCTTCACCATATCGTCCTGAAATTTGCTTTTATTACAGAGTGCAATAATGCCCATTGCTCATTTAGTCCACAGAACAGTCCTTTTAAAAGCCTGAATGAGCTGCAATGCCTTTTCTCTTGAAGTTATAGAGTGGCCAGCGGTCTTAATGCAAATAGTTTGTTTGGTAGTTGCTGAGTGTCAAGCCAAAGCTCTGTCCCTCCCTGGCCTTCAGGGATGCTT